GCTGCAGCCAGGAGGGAGGTAAGTTCCCTTCAGAAACTGTAATTGCAGCCTTCTGATACTTGAAGGGAACTTATAGGAAAGATGAGGCAAGGCTATTTATCAAAGCATGTAGTGACAGGACAAGGAAGAATGGGTTTAAACTGATAGAGAGTAGGTTCAGATTAAGTGTTGGGAAGAAATTCTTGGCTGCGAGGGTGAGGAGGCCATGGCACAGGGTGCTCAAAGAAGGTGTGCCTGCCTCTGTATAATAAAATGGTCACGACACCTGCTCCTTTGCGAGGTCTTCATTAAAAGTCAGCTTTGGGTAGGGAACCCCATGGGCTGCACACACCGCTGGCTGATTCCACTGGACGATTGAAAGGAGAAGGGTTGGAGGTTTGTGCTTGGGCAGACCTGGACCTTCAATCCTCCATTAGAAAACAATTCTGCCTCTTAGTCAAGGGAGGTCATGGTGGTCAGGTGCTGTGGGTCACGGCGACGGGACAAAGCAGCTCCGGATGGTCCACTATTTTGCTGGCCTGGAAACACTATTTTCAATTCCAGATGTTATTTGGGCTCATTGTTTTAGGGGTTTTGAACTCTTGACAGTGTCCCATGAGCACTTGCGGGTGCATCTCATTTAAATGGGAACAGGGGAGGTGGGCGTGGATACCAAGCACAGGTACGGGAACCGGGAGGGGACAAACAACCAGGAGCATTATGGCTGGGCATGGATACAAGGTAGGTACCAGGAAAGGGAAAGGACAGTCAACTAGGAACATTTACAGTTTACAGAAACATAAAGCATTAACAAACAAACAGTTAACAAACAAGAACCTGGTGGAGCCAAACTTGCATCTAGGAACATTTACAGTTATCAATTATCAATTAATTATCCCCAACTCCGCCCCCAAACATTAAAGTCATTTATAACATCTGGATCCCTGGAAGTGTCCAAGGCTAAATTGGATGGGACTTGAAGCAACCTGTGATAGTGGAAGGTGTCCTTGCCCATGGCAGGGGGTGGCACTGGGTGATCTTCAAGGTCTCTTCCAACCTACCCCATTCTGTGACCTGTGACAAGCTGCTTTGTGCTCACTTTGACAAAACTTCTGTTAAGGTGATGCTGTCTGTGGTCCGAGTTAGGGGCTGCTGTGCATGAGGGCCGTGGGCTCCCCACCCTTACTGGCTGGGATGAGGCCATTTGCCTGGAGCCCGGAGCCCTTTGCTCGGTGCCTGGGGCCCCTTGCCTGGAGGCCTTTGCCCGGTGCCCTTTGCCTGATACCCGGATCCCTTTGCCCGGTGCCCGGATCCCTTTGCCCGGATCCCTTTGCCGGGTGCCCTTTGCCCGGTGCCCGGATCCCTTTGCCCGGATCCCTTTGCCGGGTGCCCGGATCCCTTTGCCCGGATCCCTTTGCCGGGTGCCCGGATCCCTTTGCCCGGTGCCCTTTGCCCAATACCCGGATCCCTTTGCCCGGTGCCCGGCTCCCTTTGCCCGATACCCGGATCCCTTTGCCCGGTGCCCTTTGCCCGCTGCCCGGATTCCTTTGCCTGGATCCCTTTGCCCGGTGCCCTTTGCCCGGTGCCCGGATCCCTTTGCCCGGTGCCCGGATCCCTTTGCCCGGTGCCCAGAGCTCGGGGCTCCTTCACGGAGCTCCACAAGATGGCGAGCGCGGGCCCGCGCGCGGCCCAAGATGGCGGCGGGCGGCGCAGCGAGGGGCCGGGGGCGCTCGGACACCCGCGGCCCCGCTCGCCCGGCCCGGCCACGGCACCGGCACCGGGCCCGGCGCTCCGCCAAGGCAACCCCGGCAGCCGACCCCGCACAGCCCGCAGGGGAAGCAGCTGGCACGGCGAGCCCGGTACGGGGGACGCGGCTGGGTGGGGTGGTGGTGTGGAGGGGAAAAGGCCGCGGAGCCAGGTGATCACAGAATGGGGGGGATCGCAGGTAATTATTAACAGCTAAAATCTGAGCATCACCACGTGGGATTTATCAGGAGAATTTAGGTAAATTTATTCCCGCTCCTCCCACGATGTTGTTTGTGCCAGTGCAGAAATACAGAGCAGATTTAGCTGCTCGCTCTAACAGGGTGATAACAGTCAGGCCTGGCACAGTAATTCCCATTAACATCATCCTTAAGAAAATAAGAACATGGTGATTGACCTCGTACGGTGCTAGTTTTTCTCTGAGCAAAGTGTTCTTCGCTTGCTGGTGATGGTCTGTACATTGTGGTTTATGTAAGCTGTCTGTTCCTCTTTTCCTCTCTTTACATGCACTTTCTACTAATTGCTTTTCTTAGAAGGTTTGGATCAAAATGCCACTTCTGTGATGGAGCCCTTCTGTTCCAACGCCAGCTTTGCAACTAAAGAGATAAGGTGATTTTATTTTGTTTCAAGTGAGCTTTAGGATCTTGTCTTTTTTTCTAACAGTGTTCATCACATGAAGGTGCCGAAGGACAGCCCGCAAAGAGGATGAAATGTGAAGAAAGCAGTGTAAAATCAGAGCTAGAGGGACTCACATGTGAAAGTGGAAACCTTGCTGCACTGGGGGAAACACCTAAAACATCTGATGGGGCTGGAGCTTCAGAAGATCCAGGAGACAGCACTATAATCCAACAGGAAAAAGATGAAAGCATTCCAGAGACTGATGAAGGGAAGCAGGAAAAGGAGCGTGGTGTTTCTCTGGAGCCACACGCAGTGAAATCCAGCGGTACTCCATTAAAAATGGGTGGATATCTGCACCACTATCAGGTGTTCAGTGAAGGGGAGAGCAGCTGTGGGAGCTTTGAGGAGGCCACCTCGGAGGACACGGATCACCCGCGGAGGCCAATGCTCGTGGAGCACAGCAGCTGCCTCTCGGATGAGGACAGCAACCAGCCCATGCCAGTGCACCGCTTCTTTGGAGATGTTGAGCTGGTGAGATGATGAGTCTGTTCCTTGCTTTAGACTCAGCCCTGGTCTGCTTAAAATTTGCCTCAAAACTCTTGGTGAATTTGACCAGTGTTGTTGGGCCCTGTACTCCACATAAACTGTCTCCATCAGAGATGGAATTACTTGCCCAGCTAAACTAATTTCTTATTTAGACTTTTTAGCCCAATTCCATGAGATAGGTATTTTTACGGAGACACAATATTGTTGGCAAAAGAAGTTTTTGGTGGTCTTTGGTTCTTAACAGAATCACAGAAGAGCTTGGGTTGGAGGAATCTTAGAAATCACTCAGTTCCAGCCCTGCTGCATTGGGATTGTTTGGAATGGAAACTGGTTTCTGTCTACCTCAGCTTTTGAACTGATCCAAGGGTCAGAGCTTTAAATTTGAATCCCTTTAACAAAGCATAATTTTGGGGCAAGTGATGTTGCCATCTTTTAGGTGTTTCTTGTGATATTTAGGGAGCAGTGAGGATTTGTTTAGGGAGCCCTTCACCCTCTGCTAATCTTCCTCACACACACCAGTGGAAGGAATATCAGCCCTGTGATCTGGTTTGGGCAGACTCCCCTTAAAGCCCCAAGCTTTAGCTTTGGATTTGTGCCACTTGCTCCCAAGCTGAGGGTTGGCTCCTGTGTCAGCTGAGGGAGGATGGGAGCTGGTGGAGGTAGGAGTTCTGCCATTTGCCACCACAGATTTTCCTTGCTGATTTGATCTTCTCCCTGCAGCATCTCCCAGCAGTTGTGCTCCCGAGTGTGACGAGGAGCAGGCGAGAAGCCAGGAAACTCCATTTCATTGCAAAGGAAGATGATGATGAAGAGGAGGAGGAGGATGTTGTCTAACAACAAACTGTAAACAAATTAAACCCTTCTTCTTTTTCTTTGTGACCACATGGCAATGGCTGTGTCAGTAACATGAGGTGTCTGTTTGCCTTTTCTCAGGGAGAGAACTGGAAGAGTTCATTTTGCAGGAATTGGCAGATACAGTATTCCAGTGATTATCTGGGGCAAATAACCGAATTTTCAGTGATTTGGAAATAAAGTATAATTTAGCACTTTACCACCGATATTTAGGAAAAAAACGCAGGGAAAATAGAAGTTAGTTTTTTGGGGGTTTTTTTTGTAAATTTGAGGAGCCTCTATCTTGAGGAAGTCTTGAGGAAGCTCCTCTTTTTTTCAAAATAGTAAAAAAAGATGGTGGAGCAAGGTTCTTTCTCTTTTAATTCTGCAATGTCCGTGGCATCCAGGTAATAAAGGAGCCAGCTGACTCCCTGGTTCAAATAAGGTCAAGGCTCTCCCTTGTGTGGGCTGTTTACACCTAACCCAGGACCAATTAAACCTCTAAAATGCAGTGGTGCTGGAAAAATGAAATGCAGGATGTCAGAGTGGGTTCAGTGTGCTCATCTCTGGGAGTTCAGCATGTTTTCATTGCACGTCAGTTCCCCAAACACCCACCCCGTGGTGTTGCTTCCTCCTCCTTCCACCTGCTGCTCCAAGCGTTGTCCTTTGTTGATTTTCAACTGGTTTCCAGCAGGAATTTTGGATACAAATGCTTTGGTGGTGATACACGAGGAATACCATCCCTTGGATTTGATGGACAGAGGAAGATTGCTAAAGTTGTGTGGCAGCCCCCTCTGCATGCTAAAAAAAAAGTAAAAAGGAGCAACCTCAGCTGATCTCAGGAACTGTTAATTCACCCAGTATTTGTGGGAATATTTCTTTGAAAGTGTGATTATGCAATAAGCTTCTAGGTATTTATTGTTATAGCTCCTTCTATGTTTCTAAAAATAGAGAGAAAATGTTATCAGCAGATGGTTTAAATAAATATTAATTTCTACAGCTAGAGCCTGTTAAACATTCAAAAGTCGTAAGGCAAACAAATTGCATATGCATGGCATGGTAATGCATTCCCACTTCCACTCCAGCTGATGCATTGTTTCTGTCAAAGATATTTCTTGGCTCCTTTTCACCCTAATTCTGTAACACAGAAAAATCCAGATTTTTTTAATTGCATATTCATAGTTCCAGCCCAGCTCTGTGTTGCAGCAGCTCCTCCCAGCATTCCTTCAGTGCTGTGTTTGCTGCTGGCTCTTTCTAGCAAGCACATTTTCACACACAGACATTAATTTCACTGTGCAAAATGCATTTTTAGTTTGGAGGACACGTGCCACACAGGTGACACTGGGTTTATCACTAGAATCCAGTGTCAAATAGTGCAGGAAGGGAAGCTGGAAGGGTGGATTGCATGCAGTGGAATTAGAAATCCTGTGTTTAAAATGCACCTCTTTGCCTTTCAGATTGCAGTGTTTGGGAGGGGACTGAGTTTGTTGTTTAAATTAAATGAATACTCTCTGTAGCAAAGCTTCCAAGACACAGTAATTTGGGGCTCAGGCAGAAATATCATTTCCACACAATTCCATGTGGACTAACTGATCCAGGACCAACAATATGAGAGAAAATAGAGCTTTTCCTAGTTATTTACAGAGCAGTGAGTAGCTGGTGCTCAATTCATAAAAACATTTTCCTTCATGCTCTGTCACATCTGATTAATCTCTCATGCACCTCCATGTACTCACACACACACACAGATGCAAGGGCATTTTTTTTTTATTTAAAAAGTTCACACGGTTTACACTGACAATTCCAAAAGTTCAGTTGTTATCAGCTGGTATAAAAAAAAATTCAAGTAAAAAATTGAACTATTCCTGATTTGCTGCCTGAGGTAGGAAATGTTTTACCAAAGCAATATTCTCCAAGGCAGTGGGTGAACATTACTGTAAACATGATCATTATAGCTGTCCTTGCTGGTTGTGTGTCAAGCAAACTCAAGCTGAAGAGGGAGGAAGTGTTAGAAAGGAGAGGGCGATGGCAATCAAAGGTGGGAAAAGCAAAAATGTGGGAATATGCCATGGCCTTGCTCCTCTTTCTGGGACATGTATGTCTGAAGCAGTGGCAAAGGAGCAGGTGGGGATGAGGGCAGGAGTTTGGCACAAGTGAGGTGGCAGCTTTGCTGCTGAACCACCTTTGGCGTTCCTGAAATACACTGGTTGCTACCTGCAAAAGGCACAGAGTAAAACATGATCCTAAATCCTTTGTTTGGCTTAATCTCCAGAGAAATAGGAGTCTATGAGCCCCTGCAGGTTCGTTTGTAAGAAATGTTTTGTCCAAGTTTCATTTCTGTATACTGTGAGTTTTGGGCCAACGCTGGCCTGAGATGACAGGGTAGAATCAGTGTCAGCTCATTTTATACCGTTATCACACTTGAATGGAACTGAGGGAAGCTTGTAAGGAGTGGGAAGGCAGGAGAGGAGAATTAAATGGATATTGGAGTGTGCTTTGTGAGGCTCTGGTTGGGTTACCCAGCCAGTCTTGTGCCAGGGACTCTCAAATAGTTCTTATTTAAGAAATTTGAGCTATTTAAAAACAACAGACTGACATGATTGAAAAAAGCAGCAGGTCCCTTCCAGAGACAGCACTAGGAAATCTCATGGATTTGCTTCCTCTTTCTGTAAATTCTGGTTTTGTCACAGCTGAGGTTATGATTGGTTTTCTTATGGCAAGCAATATGTACAAGTTTTAAATTATCCAGGGTAAACAGCAACTGATAGAAGTATTCCCAGTTCACTTCTCTCCCATCTCGTGTTTTGACAGCTTCTGCCAGTTCTGGGACAACAGCACGTTTCTTCTCAATTCTTGGGGACACAAAAGAGAAGACAATATTGCCATCAGGAGTTTTTTTCCAGAATAATCAAGCCTCCATCTTCCTTTCAGAGCCAGGCAGAACTGGAATTCTTTCTCCATAACTAGGCATATGAATTTTTCCCCCAAGGAAATTAGTTCAGCAAATCTTGTTTGCTTCACACCAACATTTGAAAAGAGTCAGAGGGGGTTTTGCCAGAGAGGAGAATTCACATGGATAATGCAGTGAGGAAGGGTTTGCTTCCATACAAAGAAAATCTGCACAGATGCAAAGCAGCTAATGAGAGGAAGCATTTCATCTGTCTTCAGGGTTTTGTCCTCTTAACAGCTGCAGCATCCCAGCACCTTTTCTCACAACATATTCTCAGGAGAGCTGACTGCACACCAGGGGGAAGGGAATAAGGCTAAACCTTTCTGATGAAGGCCACGAAGCAGGTAGGCCTGGATTAACACTTTGTACATACATGTGGTCGAGATTCCAGGTGCTGAAGAGGATCCTGCTTTCCCTGTTGCTGTAGGGGTTGATGGAATGCTTACATGGGCAGTCATCTCTGTCAAAAGGTCCCTGTGAAAGATGTCACACTCGTCACCCCAGCATGGTCCTGCCAAATGCTAGTGAACCAGAGAGATCCTGCACCCCACATCCCCCCCAGCCTGACACTGCACCCAGGAAGCTGTTTCTTTCCTCTGATGTTGAGGGAGGAATTGGATCAAACTTAAAAAAGGGGAAGTTTAAGTCAGGTATACAAAATAAATTCTTCCCTATGAGGGTGGGAAGGCCCTGGCACAGGTTGCCCAGAGAAGCTGTGGCTGCCCCATCCCTAGAAGTGTCCAAGGCTATGTTGGATGGGCTGGGAGCAAACTGGGCTAGTGGAAGGTGTCCCTGCCCATGGCAGGGGTGGAATGAGATGATCCTGAAGTCCCTTCCAACCCAAACCATTAGGTGATTCTTCAGGAAGGCTGCGGGTACCTGACAGGAGAACCACCCCTCTGCGGTGCACAGGCGTGCTGCCTCCTCCTCCTCCCTTCTGTCAAAGTAGCACCCGTTGTACTTCACAGATTTCAGTTTATCTGCCATCAGGTCGATTATCCCTCTGTAGGCATCTCGTGCTGCAGGATGAACGTTTGAAATAAAACCACTAACCTAGAGGGGAGAAACCCAGCAATCATTCCTCCATTCTTGTGGCAGCCTGAGGCTCTTTTCTACAATCACAATGTTACACCGTAGAAGTACTTTATATTCCTGCAGCCACAGAATTACTGTTACAGCCTGACATAAGTTATTCAACAGAAATTTTACCTCTCTCATGTAGCCCCGCATTCTGCTCTCACAGCTGTGCCTCATGTAGCTGGATTTGTTCTTGAACCGAGACTCCAGCCCTGGAGGGAACGAGATTATTTTGTACCTCAGCACAGCTCCTGTCCAGCTGGGAGTTCATCCTGGCTTGCCACTAACTCAGGTTGCACAGGTTTTTTAATTAACCTTTTTTTTAAAAAAATTTACCTGCTCTTAAGCACTTAAAAGAATGCTGTAGAACATCTGCTGAGAGAGCAGTAGCTGGAATTGTTACATGTTTCTTGTTACTGCGTATATGTGGCACACCAAGAGATTGTGAAAGATAAACAGAATATTTGTGGAAGAAATGCTGTAATTGCTTGGGAATGGAAAGGGAAACTTGCAGAGTGTAAAGAAAATATAAAGCATGGTTAGCTGGCAGAGATGTGTGAGTTATCCATATACTATTAGCAAATCATTAAAACATCATAAATGCAGATTTATATTAACAGGGGGAAGTGTATTCTAGAGCTATCTTAATAAAGCAATAGGGAACACCATTTTTAAAAAACATTATCTGATAGCAAACGTGCATATACTTTAAAGAAACCTAAAGACACATACTAATGGAAGGTATAACTAAACCCCTGACCAAGTACCCAATCCCATCAGCCAGAAGAGCTCCCAAACTTTGCTTTAAGAGCAACAAAACTGACATAAATGACTTTTCAGAACAGAGCAAGACTTGGGAGTCCAATAGCAGCTTCCTACGGCAACAAACACACCTTCAAACCATTTCTTGTCGTCTTCCTTGTCCTCGGCCAGGATGTTTTCGCTCAGGTTGTGGATGAGATCCGCCAGCAGCTTCTGCCTGTGGGGAGCCCGCTCGTCCGTCAGCAGCCTCCGCGCAGCCTCCACCACAGCGCCCTGCTGGCTGCAGAACGCGGCCAGGAGCCGCTCGATGTCGCCGGCACCTGGGGCAGGTGAGGCGGCACCGGCTGAGCCCCCGGGGCCGGCGCTGCCCCCGCGCCCCCCGCCCGGCCCCGCACTCACAGCCCCGCCAGCTCTCTCCGGGGCCCAGCAGCACCAGCTCCGTCTGCGGCGGCAGCGCTCGGAAGAAGCTCTCGGTCAGCTCCGTGCCGTCCTCGTAGAGGCAAAGGCGGCTGCCTGCCAAGGGAAGCTGCACCACGGGCGGGTGAGGAGCGGGCGGGACCCCGGCTCCGGGCGGTCCCCGGCTCCGGGTGATCCCCGGCTCCGGGCGGGACCCCGGCTCCGGGCGGTCCCCGGCTCCGCGCAGCCCCGACCGCAGCGGCTCCGGCTCTGTACGTGTCGCACCGGGCAGCCCCGGCACGGAGTCCCGGCACCCGGTAGTCCCGTTACCGCCCAGCCTCAGCAGATCCGCCCCGCATCGGTAAGCAGCATCCCAGCCCGGTATCGTCCCGTCGCTCTAGCACCCGGCAGCCCCCCGCCCATGCCGCACCATCCACAGCCCGGCATTGTCCGCTCCGGTCCGCACCTGCAGCAGCCGGCAGCCTTTCCTCAGCAACCCACGCAGGCTCCCGGCCGCCACCCCGAACTTCTGCGGGCCGCCGCAGCCGCGCAGGCGGAAGGGCCGCAGCGACTCCGCCATGGCCGGGCCGGGCCACTCCGCTCCCCGCCCGGTGCCGGTGCCAGGCTCGCTGTCGGGGCCGGGGCCGCCCCGCGCAGGCGCCCCGGGGCCGGCGGGGCGGTCGCGCCTGCGCGGCGGGGCCGCGTTGCCATGAGAGCGGCGATGGGGCCGCGCTGAGCCAGGTGGGGCCCGGCCCGGCCCGGCCCGGCGCTTTCCCCCGCGCTCCGCTCTCCCTCCGCCCCAGGCACCCCCCGAGCTCCCGCCAGGCCCCCGCCGGCTTTGTCCGCCGCCCGTCCTGGCTGAGCCCCCGGGACGGTGCGGCCGTGACCCTTCCGGGCCTGCGGCTCCTGCGGGGTTGGGACCGGCGCGGGGAGGGAGGGCCGGGGCAGGTGTTGGTGCCATAACAGCGGCACGGCCCGGGGTGGGCAGCGGTGGGCCCGGTGCTTGTGTCCCCTGCAGTAGCTGCGGTGGGTGCGTGGCTTACCCAAAGAGACTAAACTGACCTTCTGCTTTGCTTTTTGTTCTTCCGACTCCAACACACATGGTGCAGGTACAGGTTGCTCCTGTATGTATTTGGAACTCTTAGTTTGGATTAGCAGGTTTAATTGATTGGCAGACTGCTCTGCAAGTGATCTAAATCCTCGTTTTGCTCAGCACTGATCAAACCCGCACCAAAAGAACATTTATGGTGCTAGTATTAATTAAAGGGAATATATATTTGCACTCACCATCTACTAACTCGACAGATCACAGGATGCAATTCTTTGACTGTAGTGGCTCAGTGGGTTTTTGTCATCCTTCCAGGGATGAGTTTAAGTTGGAAGGCGGTGGCTGTGACCTGTTCAGCTCCCCAGGATGCCACACAAGATCGGTTTCACGGTGGTCAGTTCGTCGGGACACGAGGATGGGTTCAGTGCTCGGGAGCTGATGGTTCATGCGCCGACAGTGAACGGGTGGCGATCGCCCAGGTACTGTGAGGGGATGGTCTTGGAGCATTGAATTTCTGAAGCACCACGTTTTAAACGAGGGGCAGATGTACCGTGCATGGTCAGAGCAGTTTACAGTATCCCAAACCAAACTGATAAAGCAAAAGTTACTTTAATCCCATGGAACCCTCATCCTGGGGGGAAAAAAAGCACCTTGATTAACACCCAAAGGCACCGCATTGTATTTAAATAAAGTCCTAGAAAATGAAAATGGGAACTGTTTTTGTTCTTGGCAGTCTTGGAGTTTGCAACTGCTTTGTTAGTATGAAAAATTCATTTGACTCAGCACATCTTCTAAACATGCGTGGGGCACCTGAACATATGCATTCAGTAAAGGGAAGGGAAAAGTGTTTCCACTGTACTCTTGGGATTCTTACAATATTTATAATATTGGCTTACAATTAATAACTTGAAAGTTCCATAATTAAATGTTGCTCAAGTTGGAAGTGAAGTCTGCTTTGAAATGGTGATTGAATTCAGAAACTCTGTCACTTTCAGGCTCTGTCAGTACCCCCAAGAAATCATCCTGCAGTTGGTGGAGAGGTGTCGGATCCGAAAGCTGCAGCTGCTCGCTCACCAGTACATGATTGCAAGCAAAATTGAGTTCTACATCAGTGAAAGTCTGCCTGAATACTTTGCTCCATATCAGTCAGAGAGGTTTCAGAGACTTGGGTGAGACACAAAGTTCTGGATCAGTTTATTGTCTTAATCAGAAAAGCTTCAGGGGAAAATAATACTTTGGGTTGTGTGTGATACGGACATGCTGTGTGAGCAGCTGAGAGATCCTGGACTTTTGTAGATCCATGACAAAGCTGGAGATGCAGGTGAATTGCCTTGCCAGGTGACAGCACACATTGTTTCAGTTATGAGGCATTTATAAACCTGAGGGTCAGAAATCCACCTGTGTGTTTGGGTGTATCCTCTGTTCATGTGTTATGTTTTCCTTTCCAGTTATGTCCCTCTCTCAGACAACGAGAAGACTGATTTCAGAGCTCGAGAGTTGAAATCTGTGTACATGGATGCAGTTGGCCAGTACCTGAAGCTGATTTTCCATAAAAATTATGCCAATAAATACAACTTGTATGGGCAGGTGAGTTAGAAGTCTTTACCTGGTAACCTAGGTGACACTTTCATAGTAAAGAGCAGGCACAGAAATCTACTCCCTTGATTTGTAGAAGCAAAAAATGTATGTTGAAAGCTCCTGTGTTTTAGTTTGTTTTGAAGCACAAAACGCAAATAACAGGTTAGAAGTGGGTTGGGATCAGGTGGATGCACCTCATCCAGAACAAACGAGTCAAGGGCACATTGTCACTCTTGTTTGTGCTGAGGTTTAGCCCGCACAGCAGGGTCTGTGTTGAGGACAAGGAGCTCCCTCTGAGAATGGCTTTGGGGTCACAAAGCCACTCTAAGTGTTTTGAATCTGTTGTGGCATGAAGTGAAGATGTTTTACGGCCACCATGGTACTGACACACAAACACCTGCCTCAGTTCTGCTGGGACCACAGTGGGGTTGTAGATTTGGTGATACATTTTCCATGCAGCAGGAGGCACATTTAGGACTCAGTGCTTCTCTCTGCTTCCGTATCTCACTCCTGACTGCAGGCCCTGTTTTTTTTTCCAAGAAAAGAGCAATGAGCTTACACATTTCCATTTTCTGTGAATTTCTGCAGGTTGCCTTGGTGGCTGTGAACATTATTGGGGAACCAGCAGACTATGGCATTGACAGCATGAGCAGTGTAAGTCCAAAGCATCACTGTCCTTTCATTGATGCTCCATTTCTTCAAGTGCAGTTTCCTGGTGTAATGGGAGGAACCTTTCTTATGTCAACTCTTTGCCTCAGCGGAGCTGTGTTGCATTAATTTATTTTTAATGTTCTCTTGAAGCAAGAAAGCTGAGCCTAATATGGGAATAAAAAAATTAAAATATAATTAGTTGGAACATTTTAATTTTCAGCATCTCCAGGTTCTCTTGCTTCAATGTGCCCCAAAATACAAGTTCTCTATGTTGCAGAGCTGATGTTGGTTGGCTGTGGCAAGTCAGAATTCTGTCTTGAACACACACCTGATGTTGGTGAATGTGCATTAAGATTTTTTTTTCTACCCTTCCAAAGCCTTCCAGAGATAAACTGATAGATCACTACTTGGGAATCAAATTGGATGACCCTGCCTTAGATGGAACTTACCTTGGGTAAGGATGTTCTTTGCATATACCCTGGCTAAACCTCTGCTTGGTGTAAAGTAGTTGTTGATCTCTGTGTTTTGTTAATTCCTTGCTATTGAAAAGAGAGTAAATCACTTATTGTGGTTTACTTTATTCATTTTATGCCTTCAGGAAACGTGACTCCATTTCACCTCTGGACGATTTGGCCTTTGACATGTACCAGGACCCAGAAGTGGCTCAGATAATCCGGAGGCTGGATGAGAAGAAGCGGGAAGCCGTGCGTCTCGAGTGCTACGACCATGCCAAGAAGCTCAAACAGGCCATTGCAGACTTGCAGAAGGTGCTGTTGGAAGATCTTTGACACCTAAGTGGAGCAGAATTCCAGTGGCCCATCAGGGCCTTGCTGTTTGTGTGGAATTGTAATGATTTTCAATATATTTCCCAAGAGAATAATTTTAAAATCAGATAGCTTGATTAATTGGCTGGAAGCAATGAAGCAAGTAGAGTAGGGTGATTCCAAGAAATGCTCAGTATAGTGACTCCAAGAAATGTTCAGTAAGATGATTCCCAGGTGTTTGTACCAATCCTAGGTGGGCGAGCGACTCGGCCGGTACGAGGTGGAGAAGCGTTACGCGGTGGAGAAGGAGGATTATGACCTTGCCAAGAAAAAGAAGGAGCAGATGGATGAGTACAGGCTGAAAGTGTACCAGCAGCTGGAGCTGCATGACCTCCTGGATGCACAGCTGCTGGTGGGTGCTGTTAGTCCAAACTCAGGAGGGTGTTCTAAAAAGAAATACCAGAGCAACCAAACTTCATTCACGGGTTAATGGAAATTTTGAGATTTACTGAAGTGTTTCAGTTTTCTGTTTGGATTGTGGATTTCTCCACACTTAGACTCTCAATGTGGTGTTTTATGAACATGCTTAATTCTCCATAAATCCCATTAGACTGTTGAGGTCACAAGAAAATGGCATTAGAATCCTAAATGTTTTGCATAATGTCAAGACTACCTGATGCAGATGAATAAGGTACTTTCTCATATTTTGGAGGGGTAGAGGAGGCTTAGGGTGGTATCAAGGCCGTACAGAATCCATGTGATTTTTTTATATACATACAGTTATGTAATGTTCTCAGAACAGGAAATTTTATAATCTCTCCACACATGCACCCACACAGAATTATTTTCTGACTCTTTCACAAAGCTGCATCCAGTGGGAATGATGACACACCTGTGAGCCAGGTTCAATGTTTACTTGAAATCCCCAGAAGCCCTTTGACAGCGTTGTAGCTGTACTGACTGATTTTAGCACTTTTTTAGCCTTGCAGTAAAAATCTTCTTCCCTTTCTCAGATCCAAAAGCCACCTGAGTTGCCTTTGAGATCTGTGAGTGGCACTGAGAGCTCCCAGAGCTCCCCTCCTGAGCTCCCAGACCCACTCCAAGGAGAGCCCCGCAGGGCAGAGCCTGTGCTGGAAGAGCAAATGGTGGATCCTGCTTCTTCTGAGCCTCTTGTTTCCTACCAGTCCCCTCTTTCTCCTCGGACTCAGCCCACAACCTCCAAGGAAGCATTTTCCAAGGAAAATGTAAGTAGTGTTCCCTCTGTTGCTGTCAGAGCAAACAATTTGATGTCCAGCCTTCCAAATAATGTGGTTATTCTCATGGTTAACTGGAGAGGTGATGCTGCTTTGATGTGACAACATTGCACTGAGGTGAATCCAATTAGTGATAAAACCTCTTCACATCCGAGTCATTTCCAGAACAAAAAATTTTATCTTTTCTAGGTTAAATTTTTACCTTATGATGAGAGACCTCTCCCAGCCTGCAAGCAGGTGGATGAAGCTGTTGCCTACCTTGAGCCAGAGGTGACTGAAGAGGACA